ATTACTGCATCTCAGACTACAATAGCACAGAACTAGAAGGCAACTCCTGGGTTTACATATCAGATCTTGCTACTGTGCACCATCACATCACGTGATCAAGCCGTGATCATATTTGTTTAGCTGTGATTTGACACTACAGTCACTCACTGCTCATGATGGATCATCACTGATTAGGGTTTTAGAGGAATCGGCTCCTGGCATTATGCTGCATGCCAGCTTTCAATACTGGTACTGTTGGATAAGAACTCCTACTGAAAAATTACTGACATCTAGGTTAAGAGATTAGTAAATAAAAAGTACAGGTCATGAATGTTGGATTGCTTTTTATTGTTTGGGAAGGTAAATGTTGTCACACTGTATCGTATTCACAGAATGGAGATGAACATCTGAGGAAGCAATAACTGAAAAGGCCTTTGAAACCTTGCTAATATATCACTAGTGACTTAGGAAGTACCAGGGAACTTGTTAGACTTTGTTTCTACATATAAAGAAAGGAGAATAGTATTTTCAGTGTGTATAATATATTGTATTCAATATATAGCTGGGGGTATTATTTAGAGAGGTTTCACTGGTGCTGCATGCACAGTTCAGGAGAGAGATCTGAGAAAATGGAGAAGGTGGTTCTTGGATCCTCATGAGAATGGGAAAAAGGGAATAAAAAACCAGAAGTGAAGAAGAGGACTTTTTAGCCTAGGAACATGACACATAAAAGGTTGTACTCCAAAGATGTAAGCTGGGACCAGAAGAGGAGTGATACCTAAACAAAGCAATAGTGGTAGAACAAGAAGTAGCCATTAAAAAAAATGCAGTCTAGTGTGTTTTCCCAAAATAGCCCTCCGTCTAGAGTCACAGGGCAAGAACACAGCTAGTTTTAACATGGAGTTTTATCACATTTTAATGTGGCAGCAAGAAGTGACATGAACAAGGGTTGATGACCTAGACAGTGCCTTCCACTTCTTCATCCTGTGTTTGGAAAAGGCCAAATGAGAAGTTGGTCACCTCAGCTACCTATGCTGAGTGGGAAACATCCTTTATCATGATGTTCAAAGCAAGCAGCAGTAGAGCAGGAACAGCTCATGCTGCAGGAAAAATCTGCAGTGCCAGCTTGTGTTCACGTCGGCAGCTAAGCACGGCATCTTCCATCCCTTCAGTCTTATGCAGTATTTCCAATTCTCAGGTCTGCTTTCCTCCCTTCAGTACTGAAGTTTAAGTTCTTTACCTTTTCAAGTCTCTTTAATTTTCACTGTTTACGGGTTTTTCTATCTTTTTCTGCCTTACCACTCCAACCATACTTTCTATATTTCTCATATTGGCACTGTCCTTAGAGAATATTTTTGTCAGTTCTGTCTTTCCAATGTTTTATCCTTTGATATTTTTCAGTAGTTTGGCACAGTCCTCAGTTAACTGTGTAAAGGTAACACAAAGGAGAAAAAGCCATCCAGAGTTTAGTGTATAAGCCTTGGATACATTAGTTAAAGGTTAAATTTCCCATTCTCTCGGTGAATCCTTGCATGGCTTTGAGCCTGAGGCATTCAGAGATCGTTTGCTAATTGCACACCCAAGCATTGTAACGTTACCCAAAATGGTAAAGGAAGCTAAGGGACAAAAAATGACAACAGTATCTTTAGGCCTTATAAAGGGGATTGTGTACATATTTACCAATATGCAAATACCAGAAGTGCAGTATAATTTTTGTTTGTTTGTTTTATTTTAATGTAATTTTGTAAAGGTTGCCTGGCTCACTGTTTACAAGTATACAAAGAACACCATCTTTTCCAGGCACAGTCCCCATTGGGTAGTTCAGACAGTATTTGTCCAGACTATCAAATACTGAAAACTGGTAGCACAGTACTGGGCTAAGTGCTGGCAGTATGGTGTAGTAATTCAGGTAACAGAGTAATTGGAGTATTTGAATGTAATTTTGTAAAGGTTGCCTGGCTCACTGTTTACAAGTATACAAAGAACACCATCTTTTCCAGGCACAGTCCCCATTGGGTAGTTCAGACAGTATTTGTCCAGACTATCAAATACTGAAAACTGGTAGCACAGTACTGGGCTAAGTGCTGGCAGTATGGTGTAGTAATTCAGGTAACAGAGTAATTGGAGTAATTGATAAAGGATTTAATTGCAACTCCAACTCCTCCTCATAAATAGCTCATAGCAGGGTCCTGATTCCGGATGAAGGCTCTTTGGCACTGCTTCAATACAAAGAGAATGTTGGTACTAGCCAGTCTCCTTGCCTGCTGGCTCACCAGCTTTTAGGTACAGTTAAGTTCTCCAGGAGGAAACTGATCTTAATTGAATAGCTCTGAAACCACTAATTTAACCTTAGATAAATCAATGTTGTCATGGACCAAAGATGTCCAGAACCTTTTGTAGATTTTTCTTCTCGAAACCACCCAATGTGAAGTAATAACCAAGACAAGACAGGGCTTACATATGTTGTCTGGTCTGAATAGTAAATTTTTCAGAGTATCTACCGACCTCTTAAACTGAATCTGAGACAGTAAACCAGGGAATTGACCAGAAATAATGACTCAGGCTAGTGATACAATTTCTTTTCTTGAGGCGTTTAATGTGGGAAGTGCTCCAATAAAAGGCTAGTAAGTATGTCCATCATTGGAGGATGCAGTATGATTGAGGCTTTTAAGGTGTTTAAGTCAGTTGCATAGAAATGGTGAACATTGTAAAGAAACTGCAGGTTAATAGTAAAGAAAACCTATTAAATATCAAGTCGTTGTCTTCCCACTGCAGGACTTTATGCAGTATCTGCTCTGATTTCCTGAATATAATAGGGTTCTCACCTTGAACCTACACTGGTATTCATATGTTTAAGTTTACAGAGACAATTATGGTCACTTAATCTGACTACAAGCATCAGAAAAAAACCCCAAACATAATTGAGTTTTGAGAGGTGGCTGTGTCAATCCTGTGCTAACTACGGAGCCTTCGGCTGACTTGCACGCACCCTCTGGCTACTTGTCTGTCTTTCCAGGACCTTCACCGTTCCTCTTCATGACCAGGCTCCTGTTAAATGTAGTCAACTCTAAGACCAATCTTTTGCCACTTCTGAAGCGCAGAATAACCCTTGCTGACGACTAGTTCAGGTTTCTCTGTATATGGTAGTCTATCCAAAATACATCTCGTTTGCCACATTCTTCCACATAACACCTCTGTAATTCTTCTCCATTTCCTTTCTCTCTCTAAATTTGCAGTGCTCCTAACAATGCTTAATTTATACTCCTCTTTCACTTCACCTGTTATTTGTGTTCTCTTGCATTTTCCATTTAAAAAAAAGTCCAGATTCCATGTGTGCATACCATCATTTTGTTCTTCCTTTAAAAACTTAGGATTGTGTTCAGTCTTAAATTACCTTCACCCCACTGAATCCACCCTGTTTTCCTAGCCGCATTACGTTATCACAACCCAGAAATTCTCACCTCCTGCTGGGATTTCCTGGAATTGAAAAGTTTTAAGCCGTTTAGCTGCTGCCAGGTTCTCCTCGGGATCGCTCTGCATACTGCTGTTTGCCTTACGCCTGTTGACCATTATGGCCTGAGTCAGCCTGCTTATTTTTTTTAAAGCAGGAGGAGTCTTTATGGTCCTTCAACCCCAACCAGCAGGTAGTAAGGACACTTGCCCAAAATTCCTACCAAGTTTTCAGCCACTTACCACGCTGAATGCAGAAAGGGTTGCTGCTTGGCAAGCTCCGTTCAGCCAGCTCCTTGTCAAATCCTGGTTGCTACTGGCTCTTTTCACTTGGAATCAGTCCCATGACGGTGGGTGCGGACCTGCCCACATGGTGTCTAATTATAGGCTTTGTGTGGGTGAGTGAGAACCTTTGTGCGAATGATACCCCTATTGGTGGATATAACAGATGTTGCCTTTTTTATGTCTTGTCATATCTAATTCATCAAAATCTTCACCTGTTGAAGTTTTTTTATGGGTTTCAAGAAAAGCAAGACAAGGCCGTTTTAACCCTTGAAGGAGTTGTTGTATGCAACACTTACGCAGCCAATGTGAAACGCTTATCTCTAAGCTCCTGTTACAGGCAATGGGGTGAGTCCGCTCTGCGGGGCAGTTCAGAACAGGAGCTTCATTTTGCTGTTCCTCTGTGTCAGCCAGTGGAAGTCACTAGCGATGTTTGTTATCTGTTTGATGTATAAGACTCATGAAGTAAACCCTTGTACGTTTTTGTATAATCAAGCCTGTTCATATTTTTTTAGCTAGAGCAGCTTAGTTTCTTTTAAAAAGGGAGAGTAAGAAAAGTTGTGTTACAATTTAGGGAGAAAGCCTGGGCATTTATTAGCTTTTTTTTTTAGTGAAGTTGTTCAAGGTCTGTCTACCCACTACTGTTTTGACTAATATATGCCCTCTTAGGCCATGTGGCCTTTTCAGATTTGATGTCTCTGAACCAAGCTCTCTGGTTGGCATGCTCTGAATATAACTGGCATCTACTGACAACATTGTGACCAGCCTAAGCTGGAGCAGAGCAACCACAGCCAGTCAAATTCAAAATTGTGTCAGGAGGATAGGAAGAGGATGATAATCCTGTCTTTCAACTTTTTCTCTCTAATGGCTTTGACTTGTCCATCATGTAAATCTCAGCTTCTCTTCTGTGCTCTGGAGGTTGTGGGCCACAACTATGTCACAACCCAGGTCTTTCAGTTCTTGGGCAATACCTCAAGTCACTACAGTGATATCTACAGGATGGGTGCTGCCATAATAACCTGTTTAGGCAACTGTAGAAGAGCAACTGTCATCCTTCTTCAAGGAGTGATTCAAGTGCCTGAGGGCAGGAAGTAGCTTGGGTCGAATATACGGTTCATACAAGAAGCCAATTTGTGGTCTTGCGATATGTGCACTGCCTGAGAGAGAATATGATTTCAGAAATGACACCAAAGTTATAAATACTTCCATACACTCAGCTGTACATACCTCAGCTTGTAGCCATGAAAAATCAATTCAAGAGCTTCTGTCACCCTTGTAGTTTGCAGCGCCTACGTGAATGCTTGGATCTGGGTCTGGTTCTTGTTTGCTGATACATGGCACTGCTTTGCACCACTGTATGATGGTGTTCGTGAGAAGTCTCGGAAGTATCTGGAGGAAGCAGCAGTGACTGGATTCATATTTAATTGCTGCTTACACTGAAAACACATGTAATTTCAGATAAGACAGAACAGATCTAGCTCATAAGAAAGTCGAGTCTATGTTCATTGACAGCAGGAGGGAAATCTGACAGCAGTTATAGGACCTGTATCTCCTAAGAATGATGTCACTGATTAGATAAAACTGTGAAGGAATGAATTCGGAGAGCTATGGAAAAGAGATAAGGAATGTCATGCACCCAATTTGTCAAAATACTGGCATGTAAGTTAGATGGAAAGCAGCAAGTGAAACTGGTGCCTCTATTAATGATGAAACATCTTCAGAAATTGCTGAACATCTTTGTGTGAAAATTAGATGTCTGAAATTCTTCTTAGGGGACCAGGATTGCTGGATATGCTCAAATATTTCTTCTGTAGTTTCCAGAGTTAGTTCTTTGAGTGTGAGTGGTGAAACGGTGCCACTGAGCACACCCCCCACAGCCTGCCCCCTATACCGTTACAAACTGAAATAGAATTACTCACTTGCAAGAATATTTCTGGGGACAAATGTACACAAGTAACTGAGAACATCATTTGGCAGGAATTTGAATTCACTAACTTATTTAGTTTGCTTTTTCATCTGCTCTATATGCTGATAAGTGACAGTTTAGTTGATACAGGGGGACCACATAGATTTTCACGCTACGAATGTGTTTCAGAGGGAATACACAGTGGTGCAGATTAATGTAGGTGAGTATGACAAGTCAGAATTAATAGTAAAAGAGAATTTATAGCCCTTGTAGGGTTTTGAGGTTGACCTTCTTTTTAGGAATGGTCGGTTTTTCTGGGTCTGGTTTTATGTCTTAAGAGAAACAGTAGGTTTTTATGGACATTAAGAAAAGGCTGGCTTTTGCAATCGCCTCTGACATTATGCAAGTGACCACATCCAGGTGGTTTTATAAATATCAGCTTGAGGATTATCAAAGAGTGAAATGCATTCTGATAGTACTGGCCTTCACATAGGTAGGAAAAAGAAGATCAAAACACTCACTGAAAATCATGTTCTCCAAAGGAATCTCGGCAACTGTTTCAAGTGCAGTGTTATGCAAGTTATCAAGGCTTTCATAGACAGGTGAATAAAATTGTAAAAGCAACATTTTTCTCTCATTACTCTTTCAGACTGAAGATGGTTAACTTTTTTTTTTTTTTTTTTTAATCTTGTCTGGATGTCTTCTGGAAGTAGCTTTGTGTATTCCATCCCCTAGAGAATAGCTAATATGTGTAGGCAAAGTCCACTCACCATCCTGGAGAATATTACATTTAGTCTCTGAGTGGCAGAGCCATGAATAAAAGGCTTTCTTGATATTTCTGTTGTCTAACTGCAATGAGTTCATTCTGGTCAAATGAAGAAGTCTTATATTGAATAAAGGCAAAACCAATTTGCCTTAGTGTATCCTTTCTGGTATTGCACAAAAGGTAATAAAAATACTTTGGAAATAATAAATATTTATCACCTTCCATAATACATTCTGTCTGCTAATTAAATCAGTCAAAGCATGCAAAGATAATGTTAACTTCTGGCTTTCTGAGCTGGAGACTTATGGAGCAGAATATTGTTTTAAGGAAATGACACTAGGGCAGAATTTTAGAGCAGATGATGAAAGTAACCGAAGACAGAGGAGTCTGTAGGGACAGCCAGGGTTTCTTTACAGGTAATGGGCCAAATTAAAGGGAAGAGGGTGAAGTCTGTTATTGTGAGTGCCTCTATTCTATTAAATCTATTAATACTAGAATTTTAAACTTATTTGAAAGAAGGAACTGAAATAAAAGGGAATAACTGTAGATTTTTTTCCTTGGAGTTTGAAAGGCAAAGGCAAACCTTCTTGAATGTTCAGATTGATAAAAGGTTGATAACAGCTGTCTCTGAACAGCTCTGATACAACCCAGTGGCTCAGAACCAAGCTGTATAGATAGGGCTCTGGACATCTCCTATGTTAGGTCGCCAGCTTTTCTAGTGTCAAAATAAGGAAAAATTATGGGATAAAAAGGGATGACACCAGTGCCAGCTTGTATTTTCACATATTGCTTACAATTCTGGTGTTGCAAGATGCTTGCCCCATCCAACCTTGCGGTAGCTGGGAGGAGAGGGATGTTTTTCTGCATCACAGCAATGTAGGCGTGCTCTGTTTGTGCGAAGGGTGGTGATGATGCATGCTCTTTCCGGAAGTTTTTAGATCCTTGATAGTTAAAGATAAGGAACAGATTCTTGGCGCTGTTTTATCTTGGAAATAGGCCATTTGGGGATGCTATCAACTTCTGCTTCCTAATTATTGGAAACAATGTAACTATAAAGCAGATCGGAGATTATTTGAAATTACAAAATTTGTAAAAAAGAAGAGAGCCGCGAGTTCGTAGGGAGTCTGTGAAGACAGATTTGCTGATGGGTCAGTGGCAATTTTTCACCCTCCCAGTGGCAACTCCAACCCCAGTCAGCTTTGATTTTGGAAGAATAACCCAAATAAATCTTTGTGAATTCCCAATATTTTCATTTTTGCTTTTGTCCCAGGAGCCTGTCGAACATAACTGTTAGAGCCAGGGATTACACAGAATACCCTGATTGCATTAAAGACTCAGCAAAACCACTTCCCAAAGATTTTGTTTTACCTTCTATATAGCAGACACGCATTTGGGAATCGGAGCCTGCTGTAGGAAAATTTTCACTGAGGAAAGAGAGTGGGGGTACTGTAGGTAAATAATTTCTCTATAAAAATATCCAGGAGGAAATGCAGGAGAAGGGAGGGAGGCCATGCCCCTGCAAGAATGCTAACTGGGAATATAGACTTGCTCCCAGGCGATGTGATCTTTCCAGTGTGTTGGTAAACTGGTATGACACAACTATGGGCTGAAAAAATTAAAACCAGATCTCAGTTCTACCAGAAGTGCCTTCAGGATGTGTGTTCTCAGGCACTGAGCCTCTGTAATTCTTCACTCACTTCTGGCATGTCAAAGATAAAAACTCTAACCTAAACTAAATGTAAAGGGAGAAGTCAGAAAAACTTATCTAAATGCAGCTATGTAGGAAAGAATTAGCATTTCTTGGGGCAACAGAAGCCTGAAGAGAGAAACAAAAATCATGAAAACTCATGTGGGAACACATGAAATGGAGATCCTGCATATTATCTAGAGGGGAAAAAAAAAAAAGTCTGATGTATTTTTTTTTTCTTGGAGAAAATTAGTTTCCCATGGAGTTTCTATAAGGAAAGATGCTGGCAAGTGGCCAGGCTATAAAATGATATAATCAGAAAGGAGATAGTCCTAAAGGCAGAACGAAGGCACTGGGGAAGCCTTGTCAAGCTTCATCTCTGACAAAGTTGAAAGCCCAAAAGGACTTTTAGAATGAACTGTGCAGTGAGTTTGTTTCCTGCAAATTTGTTGTTCATTCAGGATTTTATCAATATATTCTAGGATACTAAAATAAAGTGAAAAACTCTGAATAGTCACAGAAACAAAATAGGATCAAAAGTGGAGAGAGAGACTGCCTGAACTGATAATTGAGGTCTTTAATTGATTTTACTTACCCTTACTTTTTTTTTTCTGGGCTCACAGGTATTTATGAAAGACTTTTTGATAGACTGTGCTTTTTTAGGAAGAAGACAGTTTGCTGTGCTATGCAATAGAATATTTTATTCCTGTTAATGTATAACTGATAAAAATGCTTCCTGTTTTCGTATTAGTATACCTGCACATATCGCTTTAAGACAAGCATACTGTTCCTCCTAAAAGTATTTTTCTGATGTTACCTCATCTGTATTTACTTTATATGTAAGTGGAGCAGAGAGTGAGTGTGCTGGATTACTTATTGCTGTTCCCTTCTTCTGTAAAAGATTTAAGAGGTTTGTTTGTATGTGTGTTTGTTTTACCCCATTGCCAGAAGAGAGTCACGAGAGAAAAGGGACTGAGGCTGAATGCTTTATAATGGCTTTGTTAGTAATTTACCTTTTGGCACAGTTTTTGCAGTGTACAAATGCTTAAGGACTATTGAATGAAATTTGTATTGTAATTCTGAAGCACTCATAGTATTGCAGAATATTTAATGTAAAAGACTGAATGCAAATCTAATATGTCTATAAAAACCCTAGACAAATGAAGAATGTTTGACTAAAAAAAGCACTACCTTTCAACATGACAGCCAAACATGTCAAATGGTGCATCTCACTTGACATTATAAATGTGCAATTTAAATTGTTCTAAAAATCTGTCTTACCTAGTTCTGATGATATGAAAGAATTACCTGTTCCAGTCTTTGTGAAAGGCAGATTGTCTTGTGAAGTATTAAACCCTTGCATTTTCTGGGCTGTCTCCATTAATACAAAGCGATAGTATTCAAAGGTCTCATATAAATAACAATTTTAATTTTTAAATACAGAAAGAAATAGGATGAAGACATTGATATCAGCAATACAGAGCTAATGTCAATATTTTTTTTAAACCTTTTGCTTATAAAAATTAATGTCTTGCTCTGTCTATACATTTATTGGCAAAGTAGTGCAGTTTTGATGCTTACTATAACAAATGATGAAAACTAGCTCAAGAAGGAGTATATGACAAAAATGCGAAACAGGACAACAAAAGAGAAAGAAATGAATGTATTGTTTTATTTTTAGCTGAACTGATTGGATGAGAAAATGCATATTTTTAAGTGGGCTAAGCAGCTGGACCACATATTTAGCAGAAGATATCAGCCCATATAAGTTGTTATGTTTTCATAGATTCATAGGATGGTTTGGGTTGGAAGGGACCTTAAAGATCATCCAGTTCCAACACCCCTGCCATGGGCAAGGACACCTTCCACTAGACCAGGTTGCCCAAAGTACCATCCAACCTGGCCTTGAACACTTCCAGGGATGGGACATCTACAGTGTCGCTGGGCAACCTGTTCCAGTGCTTCACCACCCTCTCTGTGAAGAATTCCTTCCTTTGATCTAAACTAAATATAACTCCTTTCAGTTTAAAGCCATTACTCCTTTTCCTGTCAGTACAGGCCCTTGTAATAAGTCCCC